CCTGGGGGGGCCCCGCCCCCCCTCCCCCTGCCTGTGGCGGGCTGTGCTGCTCCCGGGGACCACTGCCTGTCCCTCCTGGTGGCCTGAGCCCTGCCCCAGCGGGGCCACCCAAGGGACCAGCCCCAGATGCCCGCAGAGGGGGGGTCTCCACCCCGCTCAGAGCATCCCCCTCCTGGGGGTCCATGGCAACCCCCCCGCCTCAGTGGCACTGGGGAGGAAGCCGGGGTGCCCTTACTGCTTTGGGTCTCATTACGACATTGTGTTCATAGTGATGATGATGATGATGAGTCCTGTGGTCTGATCCCGGGGAGGGTCCCGTGCCCCCCACCCCACCCGTGCCGCGGGGAGGAGGGGGGCACGCGCCCTCCCCACCTTCACCCTGGCCACGCATCCGTTTTGTACAACTGGCATTTTCTACCTGTACCGCCCCGGGAAGGGGGCTGCCGCGAGGGGCTGTTATTTATGGACGATTTTTAATTCTGATGTTGTTACAAAAATAAAATATTTAAAAAAGCTGGGCAGCCCCCGCGCCGTGGTGTCTGCTCCCACCGCCGGGTACCGGCAGGTCGCATCGTGCCGCCGTTGGGCAGGGGCGGCAGGGATGGCGGAGGGATGGAGGATGGAGGCATCACGGCGGTGTTGCCAGCAGGGACCGGCTCTGCCAGGCACAGCCGAGCCCGCCGGGCTTCTGGGGACGGGCACATGCCCTTGACGTTGGTTCCACGTGGGGACGAACGTGGGAGCTGGTCACGGGAAGGGCTCGGGGTCCGGTCCTGGCCCTGGCCCAGCTGGGTGACCTTGGAGGAAGGAGATCCCTCACGCCCTGTCCTGCCATGGGGAAGGGGCTGCCGCCTTCCTCCTCCTCGGCCCATGCAGCACCCAGGACCAGGGAGCAGCCTGGCTCTGCCTGGTCCTGCGTGTCCCCCCCACAATGGCTTTGTCCCCCCAAAGTGTCCCTCCTGCAATTGCAGCCACAGGCAATGGGCCAGCAGGTCCCTTTATTCAGGGATGCCATGGGGATTTCCACCCCTCCACTCCTCCCCAGCCCCCCAATCTGTCCCAGTGATCCCGACACCCCTAAATCACCCTGAGTGACAGCAGGAGACACCCCTCCCTCTGTCACCCTGCTCCCGGCTGGGCTGGCACCCACCCAACCTTCCCCCTCCCTCTGCCCCACACCAGAGCTCGAGCCATCCCCGCAGCTCCCCAAAAACCTGTGGGGCCACAGAGATGGGGTGACCGCTCCTGGCTGCCTGGGGTCCTGCCTTGCCGGCACTGGGACCAGCATCCCTGTCCCCAGGGAAGAGGGGTGATGCCCTGTCACCCGCCCCCGTGGCACCATGTCAGTTCTCCTCCGTCTCCGTGCAGAGGTGGGGGGCACCTGGCCACGGCGGCCGGCTCTGGTAGCGCCTGGAGATCCAGGTGAAGAGCAGGCAGGTGACCGACTGGATCCCCGCCAGCAGGAAGAAGTAGTTATCCATGCGGCAACTGTTGATGCTCCCTGCCAGCAGGAGGGTGGTCAGAGGTCCATGTCCTGCACCCCATTCCCGCTGGCCACAAAGGCACCCCAAGCAGGAGGTGACACCTGTGTCCCCATGCCAGCGCTCACCATAGTCCTCTGGGCAGCGCATCCACCCGCGGGCGGGCAGCGAGAGCAGGGTCAGCAGCCCTGAGCCCAGCAGCGAGCCCACCCCGGAGATGAAGAAGAAAAGACCCATGATGGCTCCTTTCATGGATTTGGGGGCCTCAGTGTAGGCGAACTCCAGGCCTGCGGGAAAGCAGAGAGAACATGGGGAATGTCTTGAACCCTTCGGAGATCCTCCGACAAACCCACCCGCCGCGGCGGAGGGGCTGCGGTGGATGCCCCGGGGCCAGGGAGAGGTGGGCACCGCTCACCGGGGATGCTGGCAAAGAGCTCGCTGATGCCGATGAGCAGGTACTGGGGGACCTGCCACCAGATGGGCAGCGTGGCAGCCAGGTAGCGGTCCTTGCCGATGAGCTGTGACACCGTCTGGTTGCGGCGCACGTACTGCAGCCGCTCCCTCTCCAGGATGCCTGCGGGATGCGGGCAGGGGGCTGAGTACCCACCGAGTCCCTGCCCGCGGCAGCATCCCACCCCAGCCCGGGTCCTACCTGCTGTGAGGATGGAGGCGAGGCTGAAGAACATGCCCAGGGCCATCCGCTTGAGTGCCGAGGGCAGTAGCCTCCGTCTGGCTAGGAAGGGGTCGATGACGTGGTCCTTCAGGGGCACCAAGGCCAGCAAGACCACCACGTTGGCCAGGAGCAGCCAGGCATCCGGGAACTGCGGGGCAGAGGCAGGTCAAGCCCCAGCCCTCGCCCGCAGCGAGGTGCTCAGCATCTCATGGGATGCCTCGGCTCCCACCGCAGCCTTCACCCATCAGGTCCACGGAGGTGCCGGCCCCATCCCTCACCGTGTAGCCCTGGAGGGTGCTGGCGCGGTCCTGGCTGTGCTGGAAAATGCTGGGGATGTGGAGGTGCAGACCTTGAAGGTAATATGTCGACTGCATCTGAAAGGCAGCGGGATGGTAGCTCCCGGATAGACCTGCCACCACCGATGGTCCCTGCCTGATGCAGAGCCCACCCCGCACCTCACCTGGAAGTAGACCATCCAGTAAGGGATGAAGGTCAACATCATGGGCAGGATCCGGGCCAGCACCTGGAAGTTGGCAAGGTCCTCCTCGGGCGAAGGGGCTCCAGGCTGGGCTCTGCTCTTGGGGAGAGGGTCCCCGGACTCCCACCGGTGAGCGCTCAGCCTGGGGAGAGGGACAGCATGGGAAAAGCAAGGGCTGGGAGGGTTCAGCCCCCCGCAGACACCCCATCCTTCTCACCTGGCCCCGGTGCCCGCCAGCCAGGAGCAGCCGCAGCTCTGCAGGGCCAGCTTGATCATGGCAGAGACCTGGCTGCCCGTGGGGGGCTTGGTGATGAAGGTAGGGGTGGCCAGGAGGAAGATGACGAGTGCCAAGGCCAGACAGGCGACAGGGATGAGGTAACCAGCCAGAAAGCTGATATTCTGCTGGATGAAGGCCACCACCAGGAGGGAGAAGACGGCCCCAATGTTGATGCTCCAGTAGAACCAGTTGAAGAAGCGCCGCGTGGCGTCACCACCCCGGTCCCTCACCTGCCAGCGCAGAGGGACGGGCCCCGGGGCCAGCTCTCAGCCCCGGCAGCACTGAACCTCAGCCCTGAACGCAGGGCTTCTGCTTCATCCCCTGTGCCCCCACCCTCCCGCGTCCCCCCATGCCCCATCCCACCCCTCACCTCCCGGCTTCCCTCCCTCCTTCCCCCAGCAAAGATGTCCCAGGGGTCTCGGAGGATTTGGAGGTGATCTATGGGGTGCAACCACATCTCCTCCACCCCATGGGAGACCCTACCCCCTTTGGCTTGGCAGAAGGGGAAGGGAGACCCACAGGTCCTTGGCACCCGGCCGGGAGGAGCCGGTTGGGAAGGGGCAGAGGGAGAAGGATGCCACCGGCCGCCTCGCTCACCTGGTCGGCGCCGAAGGAGGTGAGGTTGGCTCTGACGGAGCTGACGCCCAGCGCCAAGAGCAGGAGGCCAGTGTAGATGGTGGGGGCACAGTACTGCTCGGGGGGCTGCCCCTGGCACGTCCCACCGTGGTGCCAAGAGCAGTTTCGGATGGTGGCGGCAGGCAGCTGCCCGCACACCGAAAGGCGTCCGTCCGGCGATGTGGTGATGGGCAGCAGGCACGCCGCCAGCAGGTACAGCAAGAAGCTGAGGACCACGGTGCCGTAGCGGCCCCGGTAGAC